TGCCTCTTCACATATAAAAAATGTGACAAGATAGACACATGGTGTGTGTGTCATCTGTGTGTGTGTATCTGTATGTCTGTGCATCTTTATGTGTCATTGTTTGTATCTGTTTGTACATCTGTATGTGTGTCAGTGTTTGCATGTCTGGTTTTATCTGTATATGTGTCCTTATCAGTGTATATCTGTTTCTGCTTGTGTGGCAGTGTTTGTATCTGTGTGTCTGTACATATGCATGTGTGTAAGTGTGTGTATCTGAATGTGTGTCCGTGTGTGTATATGTGTGTCTGTATTTGCATGTCTGTCAGTGTGTACATCTGTGTGTCTTTATTTGTATGTGTGTCAGTATGTGTATCAATGTGTCTCTGCAACTGTATGTGTGTCAATGTTTGCACTTTGTGTGTATGTATCTGCATGTGTATCTGTCAGTCTTTACCTACATGTGTGTCAGTGTGTGTCTGTGTATCTGCATGTGTATCAGTGTGTATTTGTGTATCTGCCTATGTGTCAGTGTGTGTATCAGTCTATCTGTGCAACTGTATGTGTGTCATTCTGTGTACCAGTGTCTCTGTGCTTCTGCATGATTGCCAGTGTTTGTGTGTCTATATCTATATGTATGTCAGTGTTGGTATATGTGTGTCTGTGCATCCGCATATTTGTTAGTGTTTGTATCTGTGTGTCTGTATCTGTGTCAGTGTCTATATCTGTATATCTGCATGTGTGTCAGTGTGTGTATCTGCACTGTATGTACGTATATATTACACCTAGGGCTGAGGAGGAGCAGGGGGAGCCAGATGCAGAGGAGAAGGAGGACAGCCTGGGCAGAGAAAAACTGATCAATTTAAAACAACAGAAACTATATTAATTACAAACATTTAGCCAATATGAGGGATACAATTTATGGAAATAGTTGCCATGGGGTACACACGTTAAAAAAAAACACTGTTCTAAAGGCTCAGAAAGCATCATGACACTTGTAGTTCAACAACATCTGGGGATTTACCAGATTTGTCTAGCTCTTTTTTTAACATGTGCACACCTTGTACCTCGGTAAGGAAGGGGGATTAGCTTTGAGATAGAAATCCTTGGTGGACTACTGGAGGAACAGCTAGAAATATACCTCTAATAACACAGTAACATTCCCTGTGCTATTATCTTTCTACATTATCAGAAACAGAGGGGGCAAGCACAGAAGGGGAAGAGGAATGTTTAAACTAGTCAAATAAATGCTTACTAAACTGGTCAAATAATTAAATAGCATAGTTATTAAAACAGAGGACTATATAACATATTATTACTGCTATAACTAAATATGAACAAACCCAGAAAAATTTATAAAACTAACTTGTCAGTTTCAATTCTATCTACATGCAGAATTAATTTAATGGACATGTTTAGTTAACTTTTGTGGTTTGCGGTCTTCTAACACAATCTCTGCATTAGGTCCTCAAGTGGCTAAATAAAGGACTAATAATAACCACTCCAAAGACTATATGTACATTTACAGAAGAAAATGAAAGTTGGAAACACAGATAACAGAATCGTTATTTGGCAAAATACTAGAGATTCTTGCTTGTGCTCTTATAAATATAAACATTCATATTCATGAATAATTAATATAAAATAGATAAGACATTCTACTACTTATATATAATGAGAAAAAAAACTAGCATTAGCACTCAAACTGGACTTTGTAAAGATATAATCGCTGACATATATTTGTGGTCAAAATGATGTGCATGTTACTGTTTTAGCTGCTGCATACAGCCAATACGTATGAAGACTTTGTGGAGAGTGAGTGTTTGTGTGCACATGCATATGTGCACGTGTGTTCATTACACCATTTATATTATACTATGCACATTGTATAGACAATATTAATGCATTTTCATTCTCATAGTACCAGCGGAAACATACTTCCATTATAATAGATCTAGCTTATACAAAATACAGCTTGCTTCCATACTGCAAAATAAATGAAAAGCCATTAACACAGTACTTCAATTTACTGATCATAAAATGATATTTAGCATACTGTATTTAAGATTGTTATATGCAGTGTGTTCAGTAACTAAAACAGTAAAGTATACAGTGAAGTTGTGAAATGTTAAGTGTCAAAACATGGGATAAATGGAAAGCACAGGAAAATATAAGGGATGAATCATAATTAGCCTTGATTACACTGCTCTCTGCATGTCATAACAGTCATATACTTATATTACTGAATGAAAATACATAGGAACTAAAGCAGACAGATGGATGCCAGGATGGCCTTTGATCTTCCTGTTATATTAGTCTTGCCATGAAGAGGCATATCACTAATTTTGTACTGGGATTTTGATAACATAGACCACAAGCTCAAATACATGTTCAGGCCTCTGAACTATATTAGTTAAACCATGGTGGATGTTAATGGTGATAACATGGGCTTTCAATTCCTAGCACTAGAGATGTCCAGACAGATATATTGCATGTTTATCTTAAGTGTGTTTTAGAACTCACCAGTGAATTAGCTGGACATATATTTTTTGCAGGAAAGGTATTAATGTCTAGAAGGTGGAAAAGAACAGAAAAACACAGACTGCCTATCCCCAAAGAAAAAGTAATCCTAATTGCTTCTACATGTTGCATTTTTAATCATGTGTCATTTTTTTTTTTTTTTTTTTATATTGTATAAAATGTAGGTATGTGCTTACCATATGGGCTTCTCTATTTGCTGGCAACAAAATACTGATATTTAGCTATGGGTGGCTTAGCCTTCCTTCATCTTATAACACACTTGTGTAGCTTAAGTTCTGGCTGACCTCAGGCTTCATTCTAGTTACATAGCAGGATAGTCCCTTTGACAGTCTCCTTGAGATACTAGAAAGAAAAGCCCATGAGGAAACATGACCCTAATTTTAATAATTAAATAAGAGGATAAGATGCACTGTCAGGAACGAAACACAAGATACATACAGAAATAAAATAAGAAATATATTAAAAACAGACTATCCAAGTCTGCTTTAAAAGGGCACAGTTATCTTGAAAAAGAACAGAGGATACCATATGTGTATGCTAATATAATAATATATAATAATGTATATCAATGTATACAAGAAACTATGACCACATGTGTTTCATATGTTCCCTATATGATTATCCTCACTCAAAGCTAGATAATTAGATTTCAGAGCTTATTTACCAAACCATGACTAATAAGAAATTTGAATAACAAATTGCAAAATGATGAATATCATAGCAGGTTCCTAAAGGAAAGTAAAAAAAAAAAAATGTTGCCAACTCAGTTATTGTGGCCTAAGTTTACAATTTGATGCTCAATTTACAATCAAAATTTCATTTTTGCAAACAGATGGCTACAACTCATTTGTGATATATTCACAAGATAGTTACAAAATGTAAATAAACCAGACACATTATTCAATGTTCATAGTGTTGCCTGAATTAAGCAACACTTTACCAGTTCACCCATTTTTACTTTTAGTAAATTAAGCTCAATTTATTTATTTTCTCAAATTTATACATTGTGCCTATTCTGTGTTTGTCTTTTTACTGCAATGAAGTATACTTAATAAAGACTTTAAGTGAAGACATATCTTACAGAATAGAAGATTTACTAAACAATATGTTGCAGAGATGTATCATACCAATGATAACACATATTATACAACTGTGACCCCAATTACCAGCTTATAACTAAAGATATTTTTAAGCTATGTCCAGTTTCAACTTATAGTAATATGTCCAATGCTTTACAGACATTCCATTAAATATTAATAGGTTCTCAAACTTTATTGTAATAGACATATTTCACTTGTAGTCCTACCATTTAGTTGTCTGTAGACTATGTCCTCCAGATGGGAAAGCCTTTTCAGCACAGCCTCCTGAATTGGGTTGACTCCATGGGAACTTAAGTTGGTGACTTCTGACCTTGGATGGATTTCATGGAAAGACTCTCCACTTTTCACAGTAATTGGTCTACACTTGGCCAAAAAGAGGACAAATCCAGCAACTGCAATTAGGTTCAAGACCAACAAGATTTTGACTCTTCTAAGTGAAGCCATCAAATTCCTCCAACTTGTTCTTCAACTACTTCTTGAATATGGGTGGTTTCCTAATGTGACACATATGTCTTCTGCTTCTAGGGAAACGGTAAACATCCCTATAAATACGCATGCAGACGTCAGGATCAAGACTAGGTGCTTTAATTAATAACAGCGTTTGTAAAGAGAAACAGAATTTGTTGACAGCTCAAACTTTACGATGTTGCCAGTAGTAATGTTGAGGTGAAGAACATCTTCAGATACATGGAACTAGTTTCATAGCTTGAATCCCAAACTATCCAGCCAATCAAAGTACACTGAGCAGAAGTGGTGTCTGAATAAACATTTGTAAAATACCATCACTACCCCTCAGCATGCCCAGGCTGCACAGTTCAACACAATGGGAGCTAACAAACCCAGTAACAGCCTTGAACAGAGCCTTCTGCAAGCACAGACTCAGTGAAAGAAAACTGGCTATCAAAGATGCATGGAAGCTATCCCCAGATGATTGATTGAAGTCATTCAGTGTTCTATCAGAAATTGTTTCCACTCTAGCATACTGTACGTATTTTAATTTTGCAGGTCTGAGTCCAGCAAAGGGTTGACAGCTTTTCAAGTATGCAGTCACAAGATCCTGCAAGAAGCAAGCAACAGTACAACAGGATACTTTGCTCCAGTTTACCAATTTATTGTAGATCGCTGGGTGTATAAAGCCATTAAGTAATGCGTTCAAATTGCTTTAAAACAAGTCTTTCTGCTTGAAGAAAATAACAACAAAAAGCACACAGGCACAATATCCCACCTACACTGTATAAATAGAATTAAATATACATTTTAACATGTAAAGTTTCTCATTGGTTCCAGCAATGAGATCCTGGTCATCAATCATGTTGCGAATAAAATAATAATAATAATAATAATTAAAAAAAAAATTATAATAATCAATAATTATTTTATTATCACTATACTAATATTAATAATAATATAATCAATGTATACAGCAGTGGAGCCTCCGATATCCTCAATGGAGAAGACAATGATAACTATCCATTGCAAATCAAACCTTCATCTCTCTCCCCAGCAGATTCTTCATTATTAACGCAAGACAAGTGTTAATGTAGAAAGTGACTAATGCAGGGGAATTGACAATGCGGCAAAGCTTGCTGACCGCACTTCCCTGAACTCCTGATATTCACCCTAAACAGAGCTGGACTAGATGATCATCACCATCGGCAGCGGCAGTAGAGAGATCTGATTTCCCTATCACACATCCCCACTCTGTATCCAAGCTTCCCACTTCCAGCTCAGTACCACCTCTCCTCTCCAAGCAGCTGTGCACAGCCCTCTGAGTAACAGTAGCAGCAGCAGGCAGGCTGGGTGTAGAAGAAGGCAGACTCAGGTGATGGTGAGTGTGCTGCCTTGTTTGTGGGGCTGCTGTTGCTGGGTATTTTCTCTGGTGATCCTGGAAGAAGCTGTTCCCTCCTGTGCTCCCATTCTCTTAGCTGAATCTTTCTGTACAGAGACATCCTCCGGTGTGAAGCCTGAATTCCCCGTTTACATGCCTACAAAAAAGCTGGAGAGAAAACGTGGGCTGGAGTCACAAGGATCTGAAGCTGCTTTGTAAACTGAAGAAATCCTGCACTTAAGCACCATTAAAAACTGCAAATATTTCCTGCATATTAAGCAAAACAAGCATAATAGAGGGAGCAGAAATCTATATAAAATAAATAAATAGTAACAGTAATAAGTGTAATTTGTCAGATGACTATTTTACCAGAATGATTGTTACTAAAAACCTGACACTATTACTTTATATAGAGTGTGTTCTAATTTTAATCATGCTATATGCCAACTGGCAGTTTGTGTGACATACATCTTTTTTTTTTTTTTTCAGGATCTGCTCTACAGTAACAGAAAAACATAACTTCTTTATTTCAAAGCTGAGAAAAAAACCCTATTTTATCTGAACTTAATAACATTATTCTGTTAACTGAAACATGTTCACTAAAACGTATAGATAATTACAAAATAAATAAGTAGAACCTACTTTATTCCTCTGGTTCTAGTCAATGGACTTCGTTTAACATCTTCAATGACAAATTATTTTTCATATATTATAATATGTATTTATATTTTTAAACTGGGATTAACAATAATTTGAAAACATTCTATATAATTCTTAAAAAATGAAAATACGTTTTTTTATGATACATTGATTAGTTGTTTAATGAGTAATTGAGATGATACAAAGTTTTAGTATCTTGCAATATTTCAGACAGGGTCTGAAATATCAGTGGGGAAGCAGAAATACAGTTTTTCTTTCATATAATAGGTTTGACTAAGTAAGTGAATAAATATTTTGTGAATGCAGCTTGCTAAAATCCTTTAACAATGTAAAAATAATGTTTTTGTGTAGGTAGGGTATAATGGTATGATAAAGTACATAACGTTGTATTAAATAAACACTATGGTGACAGGAATACAAAAATATATTCCTGTCACTATAGCTGTGAAAATGATGTTTAGGCAACTGTCCCTCCTGTCAGCTAAGGTAAAGGTGAGGTTACTCACCTTTATTCCAGAGTTGCACAGGTCAGTGGAGACTGGCTCCACTTTTGTTCTGCATCCTTGGCTGAGATCATCAAAATTGACAATGTTAGCCAATCTAATGCTTTCCCATAGGAAAGGCTATTGTGTATGAGCGGCTGGGCTGCACTGATCAGCATCTCCTAATAGAGATGCAATGAATCAGTTACTAACATTTGGCACCTCCATGCAGGGTGTGGAGACTCTGAATGTCAGTGCCTAACATTGTGCAGCACGGACCCAGGAAATACCTTTAGTGGCCTTCTGAGTCTGGTGTTCCTAAGTAGTAATAAACACTGCCTTTTCTGGAAACGGCAGTGTTTACATCAAAAAGCCTGCAGGGACATCCTATGCTCATCAGAAAAACTACAATAAGCTGTAGTTGTTCTGGTGACTATAATGCCCCTTTAAGCATCTATACTATACTATACTGGCATCAGTGGTGAATCCTGATTTTGTGCTACCCTAGGCACCCCCACCCAACCCTTCCCCCCTCCCCTGCCTCCTAAATACACACACACACACACACACACATTCACTGACAGATATGCATACACTCGCTAACAGAAACACACACTCACTCACAGACACACACAGACACACACTCACTCACTAACAGACACACACTCACACTCACACTCACTAACAGACACACACAGACACACAATAACAGACACACACACTAACAGACACACACACTCACACTAAGAGACACACACACTCACTCACATTAACACACTCCCTTTTTTTTTTAATTTAACCCCCCCCCCCAACCTCCTTACCATTGGGAATGCTGGGGGGTTGTCCCTTTCCCTGGGGTCCAGTGGCTGCTGGGCTGCTGGGCTGGCGGTGCTGGTGAGGGAGCACTTTCCCCTGAGCTGTCTGCTCAGATCCCTCGCGTGCTGTAGAGTGATGCCGGGAGCTGGAATATGACGTCATATTCCGGCTCCTGGCAGCACTCTGCTGCACTCAGGGGAAAGTGCTCCCTCGCCAGCGCTGCCCGCCCGCCCGCCCGGCTTGTCAGTTAGCCACTTTTTTTGCCGTCCCCTGGAAAGTGCTGCCCAAAGCAAATGCCTTGTTTGCCTCGTGGCTAAAACATCCCTGACTGGCATACATGCTGTTGAGGTATACAAAGCTTTATTGTGGTTTGCACAAATACAAAACTATCAGGTCTGTAGCTGTGGAAGGAATTTGCATGGGCTGAAATATCCTGACCAAACACTAGCACATAAAAATAAATTCAGACCAGTTATTGAAGGGAAAATGAGACAGAAAATGTAAGTTATTTGGTAAGGTACCGTATTTTTTCATGTATAAGACTATGTATTTTTCAAAAAAATTTTAGTCTAAAATTGGGTGTCGTCTTATACACTGAATGTCACTGCAGGGGTTAAAAAAACAAACAAAAACACTTGTGCGCAGAGCCTAAGCCAAGAAGGTGCCTGCCACATTTTAGTGTGCCATGGACCACACACATATCTGGCTTCCCTCCAATCCACTTCTGAATGCTGTGGCAAGGAGGAAGAGGTCCCTATATGTGTGGGAGCTGCAGCAGACATCAGCACTTACCATCAACGAAGCTCCAGAGACATGTCACACCATAAAAGGAGCAGACATATTAAGATATGCTCCCCCTAAGCTAGGCCTTGCTTTCTGATTCATATTTATTGGGGAGGAAATGGGGATCAGGGAGCAGAGGGAATACTACTGTGATGTCTCACCACTTGCTGTATTTTGGGAGCTGTAGTCTCCCATCATGCGCTATATAGCCATTAACGTCACAGAGTACCTTAGCACAGGGGAGGCATGAAATCAGAAGTGTGTTGTTCTCCTCAAAAGTAACCTCAGAAGTTGTTCTATTTGATGTTTAAAATACCTACTTCTTAATTTTGGGCTCAAAAAATAAGGGTCGTCTTATACATGGGGGTCGTATTATATATGTAAAAATATGGGATGTTTTAATGGAATTTAATGCAGCATACTGTATGCCAATATCTACATTACTGAGCCAGGGCATAAATGAGTGCCTAATATGAGTTAAGGAAAGTAAGTTAAAGTCACTAATCTCTTAATGCCCAGTAGTGATATGCTAAGTGGACAGGAAAAATGTCTTATCTGGGCAAGAATGTGGTTTCACAAGGTTGTGTTTTATGGGTTTGGAGATGACAGTTTGAGTTTTTTTTGTGCTATGGAATAGTTTCCGAGTAAAATGACAAAAACTAAGTGAATGCTAACAAGGTCAGAAAAAAAATGCTACCTGGTGGTGAGCAGTGAACCTCTGGAAGACTCTCCAGGCTGAATCACATACATCCTTCTAGATATATACACTATATACAGTTTAACCTCGTTCAGGGGACTTCTGCAAGAGAAGGATGTATTATTATTATTATTATTGTTATTATTGACATTCATATAGCGCCAACAGATTCCGTAGCGCTTTACAATATTATGAGAGGGGGGATGTAACTATAAATAGGTAAATTACAAGAAAACTTACAGGAACAATAGGTTGAAGTAGACCCTGCTCAAATGAGCTTACAGTCTACAGGAGGTGGGGTATAAAACACATTAGGACAGGAAATATCAATCAAATAATCTGGGAGTAAAGCAAAGCGGGAGGAGAGAGTAAAGTGCTGCCCTATAGGAGAGAGGTATGTAAGATAGAGGTTACTCTGGGAGGCCATAAGATTTCCTAAAGAGATGTGTTTTAAGGCACTTCTTAAAGCATTGGACTAGGGGAGAGTCATATGGGGGTAGGCAGGCTATTCCATTGGAAGGGAGCCGCCCGCAAGAAGTCCTGCAAGCGAGAGTTGGCTGTACGGGTGCGAGCAGCGGTCAGGAGGTGGTCATGGGCAGAGCGGAGGGAACGAGGAGGGGCATACCTATGGATCTGTGAAGAGATATAAGAGGGGCTAGAATTGTTCAGTGCTTTACATGTATGGGTTAGCACTTTCAATTGACTCCTATAGGATACAGGGAGCCAATGTAAGGACTGGCAGAGGGGTGAGGTGTGAGAGGACCGACTAGAGTGGAAAATCAGTCTGGCGGCGGCATTTATTACAGACTGTAGCGGGGCAATGTGGCTTTTGGGGAGACCAATCAGGAGAGGGTTACAATAATCCATGCAGGAAATTACTAGAGCATGGACTAGAGCATGGACAAGCTCCTTGGTAGCATCTTGTGTAAGAAAGGGGTGGATGAAGGCTATGTTTTTAAGTTGGAATCTACAGGATTTGGCAACAAAGTGTATGTGAGGCTCAAAGGTGAGGCCAGAGTCAAGTATGATGCCAAGACAGCGTGTTTGCAAGGATGGACTTATGTGGATATCACTGGCTTGAAGGGAGATCGAGAGAGGAGGACAGTATTAGGAGGAGGAAAGACAAGGAGCTCAGTTTTAGAGAAACTGAGTTTCAGAAAGCGAGAGGACATCCAGTCAGAGATGGAAGAAAGGCAAGCAGTGACACGTTGCAGGACGGCAGGGGAGAGGTCCGGGGAGGAGAGATATGTTTGGGTGTCATCAGCGTACAGGTGGTAGTAGAATCCAAAAGAGGCTATAAATTTGCCAAGAGAGGCAGTATAAAGAGAAAATAGAAGGGGACCAAGGACAGAGCCTTGGGGAATGCCAACCGAGACAGGACGAGGGGAGGAGGTATCCTTGGAAAAGGAGACACTGAATGAGCATGGGAGAGATAAGAGGAAAACCATGAGAGGACAGAATCACAGAGACCGATCGATTAAAGAGTTTGAAGGAGGAGATCATGATCAATGGTCTCAAAGGCAGCAGAGAGGTCAAGGAGAATTAATATGGAGTAGTGATCTTTGGATTTAGCTGTGATTAGGTCATTAGTAACTTTGATAAGAGCAGTATCAGTAGAGTGGAGAGGGTGGAAGCCAGACTGAAGAGGGTCAAGAAGAGCATTGGAATTGAGGAAGCGGGACACACGGGTAAAGACAAGTCTTTCCAAAAGCTTTGAGGAAAAAGGGAGCAGGGATATGGGACGATAGTTAGAGGGGGAGGATGGGTCAAGAGATGTTTTTTTCAGGATAAGTACTACAGTGGCATGTTTAAGGTCAGCAGGGACAGTGTCATAAGAGAGAGCAGTTGAAGATGTAGGTTAGGGA